GTTTTGAGATGAGATGTTCCCCAGATCATTTCTATACAAATATAAATCTAAAGAGTTGTTCAACTATTTTATTAACTTAGATTATATCAATAAAATATTTGTTGTGTGTAGTAAGACTCTGCAGCTTTAATAAAAATAATGGAAGATTTGAGTGTTGTTATTTCTTTTTTTTTTTTTGGAGTTGGGCTGAATATTTTGTTTGTATTATTGATTTTATTTTTTGTAGCAGCATTTCTACACTTTGTCCACTGGTGCATCCACTTTGGGTTGCGTTTCAAATCAGCAATGTGAGAACACTGAGGTCTCAGTAAGCCTTGTAGACCTCTTCATGCTAAGAAAATAGATCATGTTGTAGGAGCAGTTGGATGGTGATGTGTGACACAGACTCCTTGGTGTTTATGAAGATGTTTTGAGGTTGGTGGCCCTCAGAGAAATACATTTGGGTACTACTTCTCAACAGACTGAGTCTCTCTGGTCCCAGAGGAGATTGTGCAAGGTTAGGGTCTTCTAGAAAGGTAGTTTATCCTGATTTTGGTCAGGCCTGTTGAATCCAGGATAGTCTCACTACAACCAATAAATGCTTGCTAATATTTAGAAATTATTCAAGGTCAGGTTGGATGGGGCTTGGAGCAACCTGAACTAGTGGAAGGTGTCCCTGCCTATGGCAGGGGGGGTGGGACTAGGTGATCTTTCAACCCCACCCATTCTACGATTCTATTCCATATTCCCTCTAACTTGTTTTTTCTGAGATGAATAGTCTAAGTTCCTTCTTGGATGAAAGTTGTTTCACACCTATGGTAATCTCTGTTTCTTATCTATGTTTTCTGGTTCTACATTATCCTTTCTGAGAGTGTCACTAGAAGTGCAAGTTGTGTTCAAACACACTAAAAATTAAAGCTTTTAACACAGCTGAAGGAATCTGACATTCACTCAGAAGGTGCTTGGCATGTCCATTCCCCCATCAGTGCTAACACATCAGGAATAACACCTAAGCCTGTGGATACACATTTAGTTATTTTCAATAAACTTGTCACCTAAGGGATCTCCCATCCAACAGATCAGTGACAACACTTTTCATTTTACAGTGGATATTCTGAGAGCTCTCTTTTCTTCTCTTGCTTTGTTGTCACAACTAGAGTTGGGGACAGAACCTTTGAATCTCATTATCAGTGAAACTGGAAATCATACGCGATGAGATCAGTCTTGAAAAGTACAGTTGGAGGGCGCTGGGATTTAGCTCTTCTCAAGTGATGTACTGACCTCTGGAGGCCACAGGCTGCTGGTTGTAATTATAATTACTAGCCTAAATTCCTGCCAGCAGAGGCGAAAAGATATGTATGCAAGTAAAATGCAGCTGTGGCTTTTCTACATTCACAATGGCTCCTTGCAAATACTCAGTCCAGCTAGAAACAAAGTCTAAACTAATCTAAATTAATTCATTTACACAGCTTGGTGGATGTACCCAGGATGCTAAGGTAGGATGGAGGTGCACAATGGCACTTCAGGTCAGTGCATGGGAGTACATATACACAGTGTGAACTCTCCATCACCATCTCCAACAGCTTCATGGCAGATGCCTTTCAGACTTTCCAGGTCATTATGCCCTGCTATATCATTGCCATGTCCCTCTCAGAGCTTCTTTCCTTTTCTCCTGCTTCTTTCCCCCCCAAAATATACCTCCACAGCAGCACTGTGTGAACAGGGCAGATAAGTGTTTATATCTTCATGAACATCTACTGGTTCAGGGCCAGGACATTTTTGCAGATGATGGAAATCTGCTATAAATCTGATTTTTCTGAAATCACATGCTAATGATGGAGTCAAACAGGGACCAAAGGGAGTGTCATATTGTGAGGAAACTGGGGCTTGGCTCCATCCCATAGTGCTGCAGCTGAAGGGCCTCTGAACAAAGAGCAGGTGTTTCAGAAGACAGATAGTCCATCTGCTCATAGTCCTGACTGGTGGGAGATAAAATGAGCTTCCCTTGGACAAAGTAAGCCTTGATTTTGGTTTCTCAGAATTGCTATGAAAAGATTTTGAGCCATGTCCTGCATCATGATGGTATCACTGACCCTAAAACCATGGAGTTACACCAGCATACCAACATGGTCAGAATCAATGGGTCTCAGTGCAGGTAAGAGTTTTGACACTTGTCCCCTAAACCCTTCCCAATGTCATTTTTAACCTCGCTAGAGGTGGTTTTCATAATTCCACCTCACAGAAAAGTTTGACTGAAAATTTACTGTAAGAGGCCTTGTCAACATCTGGGCTGAGATCAGGTAAGAGTGTCAATAGTTCAGGGAGGCTTTGTGGTTTTGCACCAACTAGACCAAGATCCGTGTTTTGTTCTCACCTCAGAAAGTATTTCCTGTGTGCCCTTTGGCAAGGTAGTTAAATATCCTACTTCTCAGTTAGCCACCTGTAGTATGGAGACATTGTCACTTATTCCATATCATTTTTTCAAGTTTCCTAATGCAAATACACTGATCAATTTGTGCAAGGTATAGTTTACACAGAAAAATAATTTTTTAAGCCCTAGATGAATGTATTTTTAAAGGAAGGATGCTGCAGGGTCCAGGGTGGGTGTCCTTATTTTGTTGTAAGACCACCAATGTGATCCAGTCTATTAACTGGGGCTTAAAAAGAGCTTCAGCTGGACTGGAAAGTGCCAGAAGAAGAGCCCCAACTTGAGCAGCTCTGCCTGTATACAGTCTGTTGGTGGACTTTTCCCTGCCAGATTCCCAATGCTTGCTCTTTGGCTCTAGGAGGAGAGAGAGCAGATTTCTCTTGGAATTAGTGTAACCAGCCCTTCACCTCTGTCCTCATCTCAATTATGTTCCTTACAGTAAGGACTCTCTCCTGGAATATCAAGAAAATGAAACGTTTCAGAAAAAATAGCAAAAAATAAAAGCAAAGATGATTTAAAGTCATAAGCAAAAGGCAGGAAAATCTGAATATGACTTCATCACTGATATTCAAATGCATTGCCCTTCCCACGTTTTCACTATCAGCAGTATTTTAAAAGGCATATCATCCGTCAAGATTTCCCTCCTTTGTCCCCATTATTCACTGTCATGGTAGGCAGATGAGAGCATTACCATCGATATCACTTTTTTAATTCTCTGCCCTTGAATAAGGGCAATAAGAGCTCTGCATAATAGAGTTTTCAGCAGAGAGAGTAAATGGGAATCGGTTGTTAATTCAATACAGGCTCCAGAAGCTGTCTCTCCCATCTCTTTTCTCAAGGTAATACTCTGCCTCCAATTGTCATTATAACCAAGAATCAAATTATTTGAATTCTGGACACATCAGCACAAAACCCAAGACTCCCTGCCAATTTCGTAGCCTGCTTGGAAGGGAACATCAGAGAGCATCACTCATTTATACGACTGCCAGCCTGAGACTGTAAATTCAGAAAACAAGAAGGCCTCAGGTGCTGCACTTTAACAGGTCTTTCTGCTCCTGAATCACCCCCCTTAACACCCCCATCACACACAAGGTAACATTTTATCTCTGAAAGGCAAAGCTTTCAAGCATCTGCCGGGGTGAGGATACACTCTGTGTGGCCTGAATGTGAATTGAAAATGAGACCATTAAGTTTATTAATTGATATCAGTGACTTAAGGCTTTGAAGGAGATTCATGGCACTTGGAAAAATAATCTATAAAGATTTTTGTTGCTCGAGAAAGACAGTGCAGCATCAGCTTATTTCACTTGCAGCAGGTTCATCTCTTTTATAGAGCATATACTGCACTGCAGGCAAAGGGAATTTTAATGGACACTGGAAAAAAATCATCTATTCCTCTGTCCCACAACAACTAAAAAAATACATTAAAAGACAGAACAGAGAGATTGAGATAGGATATCACCAAACATTTAAGGAACTGTAATTAAATTAAGATTCAGAAGTCTGTCAATGAGATGAAGATGAAACTGGCAGAAAGTTGAACCATGTTTGAAGCAACTTGTTCCCTCCTGCTGTGGGTTGCTTTGTACCAGGCTAATGAGAAGGCACATCTCAGAAAGGTTCCTAATAAGCCAGCAGATCTCTGAGGGTAATTAATCAACATAGCTTGCAGGAGTGTGCCATGTTCCATTTTCAAGTGCCTTGCAAGCATTAATTAATGTGGCATTGTATTTCTCTTTCCCCTTTTAAGCTACAAACCCTCCTCTGTAGGTGGGGAAACTGAGGCACAAGACGAACGCAATCTGCTTTAAAAATCACCCAGTAAGTCAACCAGACTCCTACAAGGGCAGAATTTACATCCCTTGGCTTAAGTGTGACCATTCAACCATGGACCATTTTACAACCATCAGGTAGGGGAACTGTGTTGTCCTACAGTGAGGATCTCAGATACACTCTGACTCTCAGGTACCATTCTGAAATAGCATCTTATATGGATATTTTCTATGGGTTATGTCTGACAGTGATATACATCCCTCCCTGCATGACACAGAATCCTGTAGATAAAGCTCAGCTGTGTTTGTGGCATGGGGAGTCTACAGCCTTTGGGGACATTGGGACATTTGGTGACATCTCTGGCTTATTCTCCAAGTACAGAGTTTGACCCTTTCACTCTCTGTAGCAATACTCAAGCAATTCTTGAAGCCCTCTTATCTCTATTCTTCACCAACAGCAAAGGGATAAGCCAAAAAAAGCTCCTGTCAAACTGTTTCTGTATTAAAAAATACTTCT